TACATAAATCGCTTTATCGAATTTAATAGTTTCCTTATGTTGATGAATAGCCATAACATTCCTAGAGTATATAGTTCTATCCTTAAAGTTAGTTTTTGATATTAATTTATTAGCTTTTTTTTCTGACGAAACCAGTTTTATAGAAGTTCTTGTTCGAACATTCTCCATACATTTTCCAAAAACACTATTAACTAAAAGCTTCCAGAATTCTTTTTCAAACTCGTTTTTAGCTTTTGTTCTCATTTTAGTACAGAATACAATGTACGATGCCATCCATTTCTTTTGAGAAAAGGAGATAGCTCGATGAATTTTTACAAGTTTAAGACCGTGAGATATCGCTTGTTTTAAATTTTTATAATGAACAATATAGTTTTTTTTCGGTTATAGTGTAGTTAACAATTTATTAACTTTAGAATTTGGCGGACATTCGTTCAACGGTAAAAACGGGAAATCATTATGAGCCTTAAGTAAATGTTTTGGGTAGTCAATATCGACTTCTAATATATATCCAACTTCAGAATCATCAGCAATTTTAGTTACGTCTATGTTTAAGTCATCAACCCATTCAAAATCTTTAAAAGGTAATTCTGTCAACATAGACTTTCCATATAAATGTACACAATATTTTTTTATATGACTAGGTAAATCTAAATATGTGCTTCCTCCTTTAAGAGGATTAACTTTATTAACTCGTAATTGTAGACAATCTATAGATTTAAGTGACCAGCCTGATTTTTTTGATATAAATTGTGCTTCCTCAGATAATAGTTTGTTAAACATTTTGTTTAATAAAGTATTAAAATTGGATGATTTACATGCTAATACGTTTGAAGTTTTAAACGGCATATCTTGTACTTCATCCGTTAATAGTTGTTCATACGTGCTATCAACATATAAATTTAATTTAATTGTTGCCTGCTGGCTTGATTGTGTTAACCTAGAAATTAACATTTCAGAAACATAACTAAAAATACATTGTAGTCTATTATTTCTTCCTTGTTCTTTACAATATACGTTCTCGAACAGCTTTTAAATAGTTCAATTTCAACAAGTCCGCCCTCAGCTGATTCCATCCGTCTACGTTTAGTGATTGTATTTCTTTTCATTATGTAACTGTAAATAAATTTAAATAAAAAAATAATAATAATATTATTTATTAATACATTTTAGTTTTAGTCTATATTCAAAGATTATAATTCTCTGTGCAGTGAATTTAAAGAATTGTCTTATAATATATTTAATAATTATTCATAAAAAATTTAAAAAAAAAAAAAATTTAACCTGATCTAAACCTTTCACGTTTAGATTCTGCTATCGTAATAAAATCTAACCTATTACCGAAACATTGTTCTCGATTGCGAAAATTTGTAACATATAAATCACTATATTTTCGACATATATCCATTTTTTTTTCTCTTAATAAAACTAATTTTATATTTAACTCTTTTATATAAGACAAATTTGGTTTAGAATTCGTTCTACTTAAATAAATAGTGAATTTGAGGTTTCTAATTTGTTTTTTAAGATCTTTATATTCGTATCTCTCTTTAATTTTATTTTCATCAATAATCTTCGTTAATGCTGCAATCTGCTCTTCATAATACCTATTGAATTTGTTCACAACAATAATCATATGAATGCGAAAAATTCATTCTCTGTAATTTTAGCTAACGACATTAGTATGAAATGTATAATTTATAAATCTAATAATTAAAACGATTATTTATTAAACAACATTGAATATACGTATATATATATATATATATATATATTTATTTACAATGATATAATAATTACTAATTATATTATTACATATTAGTTTTGAATATAGTTTTATTCTATATTCAAAGATTCTAATTCTCTGTGCAGTGAATGTACAGAATTTCTTATACATAATCTACATTTATAAAATGTATATTGTGATTGTTCGTATTCTAGTTTAAGTTGTTTTTTTTCATATTTTAATTTTTTAATTTTTTTGTTTATTGCTTTAATTTTGTTTTAATGTATATTTTCTTCTTCGTCTTCTTCGTCCAAAGTTTTTTCTAGTAATTCATATTTTTCTTCAATTTTTCTTTTGATGTACGTTTCGTCTGAACGAGATTCCATTTTATTTTGAAACTGTAAATGTTAATATTTATCTATCAATCAATATATTCAATAAAATAAAAAAAGTCGAGTCATAATAATTATAAGCGATACAATATTATTTTTCCTTTATATTATATTATATTATATTTAACTCATATTATTTGACAAGTTTTCACAACACAGTTAAAATATTAATAAAAAATATTGAAGATATAGATATGTACAAGCATATACGTTTGAAAAAAAATAAAAAAAATACTATATGCTTGTATTATCTATAAGTTCAACATTATTTACATCTTTTACATCATAGAATTCAATGTTTATAATATAATCTCATGGTTTACATAAACATAATAAGTTTTAATAGTTCTCAATACATTTTCTTTTTACAAAATATAATACATTCTTAGTTATTTATACAACATGTTTGTAATAATTTAAATATAATATCTAATAAGAATTATATTAACAATTGTCTTGCATGTATAAAGCGATAATAATTATAATAATAATAATAACCAATTATAATGATAGTTGTATATAATAACATTAAAAGCCTTTACATATAATAGGGATACATGAACATGGTTTTGATTAAGAAAAAAATAAAAATAAAATTTATTATTTTTATTGTTTTTTTCTTAATCAAAATAATCGTTACGATTTTAATATTTACTTTTATCTTTCAACATCATTTTTAAAATATATATTAAATAACAATATAATTAATGTTTTACATGTTTTAAAATAATTTTAATAGTTATACATTTATAGTATATAAAAAATGAGAAATTATCTATCAAACATCTTGGACAATTGTTTTATTGTTAGTTTTTTATTTACGAGATATATTTCTCATTCTATCTAAAACAAAAATTCTGAATATGTTACGGGTACAGGTACGGAGTCAATACTAGTAGGGAACCGATTACTTTGTAAATCAACACCTTTAGTTAAGAACCGTCCACATAATATACATCGTTTATAATAACAATAATCTTTAAACGCTTGTGTATCTTTAAATCGAACAAACTGGTATAAAGGATTGTAAGTTCGAAACGTATTACCACTAGATCTTTCATGATGATAACATGCACTGCTACAATACTTTTGGTCCCCAACATTTTGTATACACAGTTCAACTAATGTATAATTTCCAAGTGGATCGGTTAAAATATTTAATACATGGTCCTTTACCATAAATGGATAATAATCTCCTACTAACATAAAGGCGATTTCAGGGTTAAAACGATAATATTCTAAAGATTCTAGAACATTGTTGATTGTTCTATTTCGTATATTGTTTGAATCGATTGAAGACATATTGTAATTTATAAAAAAATTCAACCAGTAAAAAAATAAATCCATGCTCTAAAAATTAGGATAAATAATTTAGTTTAATAAAAAAGTAATTTAAAAAAATAAAACAACATTAAATTAGATTTATAACTATTTTATGTTTGCATAACTAATGTTCAACAATAAAATTTCTATTTTAATTGAATATTGTAAACGTATTCGTTTGATTCGTTCCATATGTAACGTACGCGTACCTACCTATAATAATTTTTTTTATAAAAATAATATCTATACTAATGATATTATATACTTACATTGTTAATATTAGAAGTTGAAATATTTGAAAAAAAAATTGAACTTTTTTCCGTGTATGTTTGTGTTGAGCGTTGTGAGACAATATGATATATTATAAGTCTGTGAGACTGTCAATACAATGTTTAAGATGAAAATGTCAACTCCCTGATAATATAAGTACTGTTATTATAGACGTTTCGTTGAAGTGGTTATTAGTTTTTTATAATAATATATATAATACACATTATATAATATCAGCTTCGACGAAACGTCTATATAACATATGACAGTATTATCAAAGACTGCGGTCAGAGCTACCGTTTAATAAAAAAAAAATAATAAAAAAACTATATCCGTATATTGTTATTGCAGACAATGTCCACTACTAATACTATTTATATTATTATTATTAATATTGGTCTTAATATAATATAAATTGATTAGAAAATACAAATAGCAAGTCACTTTTAGAGGTACATCTTAAATCCACTCAACGTATTTTAGCTACAAATTATCTAATGTTTAAAGATATATTTAAAAAAAATAATAATGTCATTTTCTAATTCGAACATTATAGTATAGCCATCGTAAGAACGCTACTGGGCGGCGACCAAAATTCATACGATCTCGCGCATTCCCACCACTATACCTTCCCGAACGCTGGCCGCCGTCAACTCTGGCCGCCGCCACTGTCGCCGCCATCGCTACTGTCGCTGCCACTACTGCCTATTTACGGTGGCGACTAGATGGTAGAGTGGGAGAAACTTGGGTACGAAACTGAGGAGCTCGGTTATTTGGATGCGCGAACGAGTAGCGTTCTTACGATGGCTATACTATAGTGGGATAGTAAATTTTTTTGTCACTTGTCATTGAAAAATAATATATGTCTTAAAAACCTAAATTTTATAATTTTTCATCTAGATTATAGTAACATGGGAGACTCTATTTTAATTTTTTTATCAACAAAAGAGATAATTAATGGTTTTATTAATTTATTTAACTTTTCAGTGGTGATTACGAAGAATCAATGACTGAAAGCGATGTAAGTACAAAATTAATATTAATTTATATTTATATATTTTAAATTTATATTTTTATAATATAATATATTTAATAGTTATATTTGAATAATACTGTATTACACTGGTTCAGTATTATACCTGTGTCTATATTGTATTGAATACGATGTATATATTTTTACTAGATTTTCAGTAACCAAATTGTATATAATTTCAGAACAATTATAACGAGGTGAAACCGGGGACCACAAAAAACACAATAAAACAAAAAGAGATGTGAAATTGAAAAAAAATATGTGCAAAACAAAAGTTAAAAAAGTATGTAAAAAAAATTAAAAATTTACAGTGTAATAAAAAAAATTAAATAAAATTACAATTTTTATTATTATTATTAATATAATTATTTTTTTTAGAATATTTCATATCTGGATAGAATTGCTCCTTTAATTAAAGATGTGAAAGTAGATAATGAACTTATTAATTCGATGATGGTGAAACAAAGTGATGAAATAGTAAACATAAAATTGCCATTTGATAACGAAGTATGTAGTGATTACTGGACAATAAATCACTATAAAATAAAAAATATTCAAAATCTTATTGCTACAGACAGGTAATATATATTATATAAATATATGATTCTTAGAATTTACATGAATACAACTTACAATGACTAACTCCTAAAAAAAAAAAAATAATTTAAGAAATTCATTGGTTGATGTATGTAATAGTTAAAAGGTTCTTATAATATATTAATGTGTCTATATGTATATATATTTGTAATGTAAAATACTTATCATTTTAATGATGTTATAGATGGAAAGAAGCTGAGTGCAGTGTAAAAGTATCGATAACTGATTTAGCAAAGGATCAAGGGCTCGCAAACGATTTATCAAACATCATACAAACAATATTTACACGGTTCATGTCTGATCCAAACAAGAAAATAGGATGTATTAAAAAATCAAAATCATAATAAATCTGTTTGTAATGGTTGTTGAAAAATAAAATAAAAAACCAATATATTAACTAATCGTACATTTATTTTTAAAAGTGATACAAAAGTAGTGTATATGATTTAGTGTCATGATGTGTAAAAATAAATTACAGGTTAATAGCTGATGTACCTAATTCTAACTCTTGTAATATCATATTTGATAATGAGTTATAATGATATTGTAATTATTCATACATAAAAGAAATATCATTAGTTTCTATATTAGTATAACTTAAGTTATAATTCTGAATATATGAGTTTGTAAATTCATTCCGTCGACAAGAAGAGGGTAACCCGTTAATATCTGCCATAATTAATGCATATGCTGTGTCAAAAGTCTTCTGGTAACATGGTAATTTTTTCTGCTTCTCGATTATATAGAGATCGATACAAGCTCCAAGCTGATTCAGCCTTTGCAAATCGACATGTGATAAAGTTATATAATTTTCATTAGAATATAATATGATTGAAGACTGTTTCACATTAACGGAATAGCTTAAGTTATCAGTTATTCTTACACGTTTACATCGGTTTTGTAGATTATCAATAATTGCTTTATAATTATTTTCACACATTAATGATTGCCATTGGTCTAGATCGAGGCTTAAACTCTTTTTAGTAATTATACATTTTAATATTAGGGGATACTGGCTTAATATGACATACCAATTTTTAATTTTAAAAAAATGAAGGAAATAATTATAGTTAACACATGAAACTTGAGCAACATATTAGTACTTATATAATACACATATTTCTGAAGTCTAATTGTACATTTAATATAAACAAATAATTTTAATTCACTTTTTTTTAAATGTACGTACTATGTCATTTTACCCGGAGTGTCGGGTAAAATGGCATACACCATATCTGTATAAGCAACCATTGTATACTGGTCAATAGAAATAAATTATAAAAATTTTAGAATTTAATAGTTTAATGAATTTTTTTTATTATAAATAACAACATTTTAGAAATATATTTAACATAATTAATATAATAATATAAATATGAAATTAATATAATTATAAGCACGGCTATGTCATTTTGCCTGATATAATACAAGTTTTTTTCAAAGTATTTATGGCAAAAGTATTATAATAAGCTTATTTATAAAACAATTGTAGTATAGCTTGCCTTTTTATGTTCAACTTCGAATAAAAAAAATTGAAGGAACATAAGGTTTAATATTTTAAAATTAATTTTAAAAAATGATTTTAAAAAATGTTGATAAGACAAAAAACCCATTTTTATTATCAAATTCTCTGATAAGGTCAAAACCGGTGATCGCTGTATACAATTGTATGTAGGAGGTTATATGTAACGTATTTAAAGAAGATTTGGTTCATAAATATCAATAATTCTAATCAAAACATCAATGTGTCATATTACCCTAATATGTCATATTAAGCCAGTCTCCCCTACAACAATCGAAATCTTTTTGTTAACTAACAAACCTACTGTTACACTTTTCTTTCCATATTGACGAATTTCAAATTCTGACCTTGAGACAATCGGTGAAATCATATTGTAGCGAGCTTATAATACTTACCGATATATTTTTATTCGTTCTGGCGATTATTGTTTTAAAAAATTATACTATGATTATCAGAGTGTTAATTGTATACTGATTATATTTTATTCATACAAAAACGTTTTATACTAAAAAAGTTAAATACAATTTCAAAAAAGTAAATACGTGACCTAATTGATAAGTGTGGAGGGAGGGAGCTTATTATTAATTATATATCTAGTATTATTCCTGCAAATTAAATTAAACAAACATATGTTACCTAGATTTGAACCTTATATATTGAATTAAAAACTTCACGTCTTATCCATTAGGTCACGTATTTACAAGATATAGAATGGAATAATAACACATATAAACTGTTTTAATAAAATACAAAATTTTATTTTAATATCATTCATACGTTTAAGCAGTTGAGCGAGTGACATATTTAGTTTCACAATTACATTAAGTTCTTCCATATTTGGTTATTATGTTTTCTACAAAGTGGTTACCTTTCGGTAAAAAACATTAAATTGGAAATTTTTACTTAAAAAATAAATGTATAAGTGAAACAAAACAATAAAATAAAAAGCATAACTTGGTTTAACAACGGATTATTCGTTACTGAAATGTATAGCTAACTTAATTTTAGCACGAGTGACTATAAAAAGTTCAGTGTTGCCAACGCTTATGAGTAATACATTGATGGTAAAAACATATTTATTTTGTTTGTGTAACAAAATGATATAGACACAGTTATGTGTTGTGTACTTGTGTTGTACACAACACATAACTTTTACTTGTGTACAATTTGTGTTACACGGAGGAGCATGTAGAAATGCCCCGCTTGAAATGAAGAAATCTCCCTGTAAAAAAGGTGCTCAGAACGCACATTTGGGTTTTTGAGATTATGTGTTACACGGTGAAGCATGTAGAAATGCCCCGCTTGAAATGATGAAATCTCCCTGTAAAAAAGGTGCTCAGAACGCACATTAGGGTTTTTGAGATTATGTGTTACACGGTGGAGCATGTAGAAATGCCCGCTTGAAATGATGAAATCTCCCTGTAAAAAAGGTGCTCAGAACGCACAAATATATACTACTGGTCCATCACCGGTCGCGCTCAAAGCATACCCATATCCGCAGCAGAAACAAACTGCTATCGACGATATGTTGCGCGATATGAAACTACAAGGGCTCGTAGAACCAATCACCTCACCGTGGTCCACACCAGTAGTATTGGCAAAGAAAAAAGACGGATCATTTCGCCTCTGTGTCGACTACAGGCGGCTTAACAACGTGGCGGAATACGACGCGTACCCAATGCCAGATCTCAACAAAATGATTAGGCAAATGCGGGGCGCGAAAATTTTCAGTATTTTTGATCTTCGAAAATGCGCGAAAATACACGGCTTTCCGAACACGTAGAGGTCTATTTCAGTTCAGAGTCCTCCCCTTCGGTCTAAAAAATAGTCCAATGACTTTCGTGAGACTCATGAACGAGGTCATGAGGGGGTACCAGGATGATTTCGTACAAGCTTACATGGATGATATTGTAGTATTCTCAAGGAAGAGAACGAACACCAGGCCCACTTAGACAAAGGTCTCGAGCGCCTCAAGAGATTCGGATTAACGTGCAACACAAAAAAATGTAAAATCGGTCTTCGCGAAATTTCCTTTTTGAGGGCACATTGTAGACTCGGAGGGCATACAAAAACAACCGGAAAAATTGGTATGCATCGACAATTTTCCGGTTCCCAAAAAAGTTAGGGACGTACGTAAATTTTTGGGCGTGTGCAATTGGTACAACCAGTTCGTAGATAATTACGCGGATACCATAGCACCCCTCACTAATTTATTAAAACAGGGGGTACGGTGGAAATGGACAGATGTAGAACAACGCGCGTTCGAATCAATAAAAAACGCGCTAGTCACATCACCAAAATTGTCGCCACCCGTTTATAGCGAACCGTTTTGTCTACAAACTGACGCAAGCAAAATAGGATCCGGTGCGGTACTTTTCAAACGGGGTGTCAGACCGGAGGAAAGACGCATAGTGTCCTACCCAAGCAAAAAGTTCAGCGAAACGCAAACAAGGTACGCCGCGGTCGAACGCGAGTGCCTAGCAATAATCTGGGCGACAGACAAATTCCGACCATACCTAGAAACCCGACGTTTTGAACTCCTAACCGACAACTCGGCACTGACATGGTTACACAGGGCTAAAGACAAAAATTCAAAATTAACACGTTGTTCACTACTACTAGCTAATTTAGATTTTAGTACGGTACACGTCCCGGAAATACAAAACGAAGCACCCGATTTGTTATCCCGTAATCCGGCACGGGGCACACCCGTAGACGAAGATTGACTTGAGGAAATATTGGTAGGGGAACCTGTAACGCCGACAACTAATGTTGACCCCGAGTCGGATCGTATCTTCTCCATGTTCGATAACCATGTCAGTGACGACACACCACTCACCGCGACGACGCTCGAAAAGTGGCAGTCCGAAGACGCTGCGATTTAGTCGCCGGTCATAAGTGGGATGGACCAACGCGGAACACTAGGAGCACAAAATCGGGAAAAAACAAATATGTTTTCTCCGACGGTCTCTTACGCGTAAACGTAGGCCCCCACACACCCATCGTGATACCGAAAACAAAAATACAACACGTAATTTGGAGGTTCACGATCACGTCCTATCCAACCACCCGGGTTGGAAAGAGACGTACCGGGCGGTTCGACAACGGTACTATTGGAAAGGTCAAAAAAACGACGTTAGATTATATGTCGGTGCGTGCCACGTATGTGAGTGCACGAAACCACTGAACTCACGTCCTACCGACCCAATGCAACCAAGAACCCCACGGCAACCATGGGAAGTTATCAGTGTCGATATCATGGGTCCATACCCGCGCTCTGGTAAGGGAAAATCGTACATACTGGTAGCGACCGACTGTTTTAGTAGGTGGACCGAGGCTTATCCCTTAGGAACAGAAACCTCTAAAACAAAAATCGAAACGTTAGAGCGCGAGTTCTTTTCACGTTTCGGTTACCCCCGCGTGTGTCTCAGTGATAACGGCCCACAGTTTGTGTCAAACGAAATGATAAACGCATTCGAACGCTGGGGGGCACAGGGTTGGACGACTCCAGTCTACCACCCGAGGGCCAACCCAGTCGAACGCCGTAATCAAGATTTAAAAAAAGGTTTTGCGCGCACAACTAGTCGACGGCAAACATAAATCTTGGGACACAAAATTACCCTCAATTGTTTTTTCGATACGGAACAGGTGCAACGAACAGACATGCTACCACACGCGGTCCTTGTCCTAGGCAGGGAATGCAAGAGACCCAGAGATTGGGCGCTATCTAAAATTACACCGGTACATATCGAAAAATCACAGGAAGAGAGGGTAGAGCGGGAAAAACGTATTATAGGCAAAAAGGTAGTAGTAAAGCCGAGCACGAACACCGGCACACCGGTGAAGTTCGGCTAGGGCGATGTAGTCTACTACAAAGCACACCACCTATCTAAGGCACATAAAGATTTTCATGCCGGGTTTGCACCAAAGTGAAAATAAAAACGTACTTCAACCACAAACGCGTTACATCTGTTTTCTTTTTGGTGACCACTCCTCACCTTACACATATTTTGACCGGCTCACCGCGGACACTACTACCACATCGCCGTAGCCGCGTCACTATTACAACAATTTATATAATAATGAATAAAAACAAAATAAAATTATTTAAAAAAAAATAGTAAAAACACTGAAAATAAATTATTTACTTTTTGTCAACAAATTATTAATTAATTTATGTACTTTATATAATATTCAAATAAAAGAATAACAAAATAAAAAAAGAACTGTGTTAAGTACATTTTGTTTTGTTGTAAATCAACTGTTTATAAAAATACATTTTATATAAAAACAAGTTAACTAGGTACCATAAAGGTATAATAATAACATGAATTAAGTATAAAATATAATAATTATCATTTTTCAATAACTGTGACATAACCTGGAAATTGATAGACCAGTTTTCTTGTTTTATCAACAATTTCAGGATTAGGAAGTATAGCACAAACCTTGTCATAATTTATTGTTGATTTATCATTTTCTTTGAACAAAAACTGTGTACCTAGTACATCAGATTTTTTAAAACCCTGTACTATGATTTCATCATCATCCTGGTGAACATCACACACACAACAGACATACTTGAAAACAGTTTGTATACGTACTCCAACAAATTTTACTAATAAGAAAATTCCTGGTTTAATATCTGAAAAAACAGGATCATAATATTCTACGGCACGTACAGAAGACGTACATGTAGACATTTTAATGGACTCTTCGTTGTTAAATAGTTCATCATCAGCAGATTCTTCAGACAAATTTATACCAGAATTTGTATTTAAATTTTATTTTTTGTAAATTTTTGATGTAGTTTTTAATTTATATTTTCTCCGAGTTTTACTGATGTTTTTTGTACTTTTATTATTGGTGTTTTTTATTTTTAATTTGTTTGGTCCATCAGAATAAATGAAGCGACGAAGTCTGTCATTACTTACACGTTCGGTTTTGTTATCCAGAAGCCAACAAAAACTTGATTTCTTAATCACCATTTTTTTGTTATTATGTAGCAAAATATTTATAAGTGGTCCATTTTCTACACTTTCTGCATTGGCATTAGAATTTGCACTCACAGATGAAACTTTCATAGAGTTTAAAAAGATTGAACTATCAGTGAAGTCCTCTAGCTCTAAGTCTTCACCAATATTTATTAGTGAAGAAATATCACTTAAGCTGAACAAATGTCATCAGGTATTTCTGTTGGACTTTTGGTTTCACACATTTCAAAGTCCTCATCTCTTTCTTCATCGCTTGAATCCTGATCTACATCTAATTATTTTAAAAACTGGGGCTGGTCAATTGAATCATCAAATATGGACATGCCTAAGTTTAATGCTTCTTCTTTAGCATCAGCCAAGCTTTTACCTAAAATGTCTTCTATGTCAATATTTGTTAGTTTTTTCAAATATATTAGTAAATATATTTTCATTTACATTAACAAAATTTCTACTAGGTTTTTTTTCCTAGGAAAAAGTAAATTTTTTTCTGGATTACTTTCTGCTGTTATTCTTAGGTCATTTTGAATAAAATTTAAAATATCTATTAGGGTGGTCCTTATATATAGGTGATGAAAAAAAAAATTAAAGACTTCTTTTCAAGCACCCCCAAATTTTGTTCATTGCTAAAAGAAAATAATTTGGGTTAAATTTGGTGATGATAACTCACTCCCTTCACGTGCCGCAAAAGGGTTGAAAAATGACTAACGAGGGTAGTTTTCCTGTTTTTTGAATTTAAACCAAAAACTATAAGATCCACAAAAAAACACATAGAACCTTAATTGTAGAACATTAAATTACCTATAAAAAATATCTTTATAAAATTTCTTGTCAATCCATTATTTTTCGAGAATTTGTTAAATAACCAAATTTTATATATATTTCGAAAATTTGATTTTTTTTATGGTTATTCTAATATATTTGGCGTATGGTTCAATTTACGACGAAGTCTTTTGTATAAAAAATGTTTAAAATATAATTTTCTAAAAATAAAGTCATAAGTAAAATATGCATAGACCAATGACTTTGTTTTTACAGTAGGATTTGTGAAATATTTTATTAAACAACTCTTTTCTACTACCACGAAGAACCAAATACAACATTATTATTTTATTGATAAGAAAAAGATTACTTTATAATAAAGTTTGATGAATCAAACAAATTTTATTATACCTAAATATTTATTATATAATAATTTCTTAAAACTATTTTTAAGTTTGAGATAAGACAGCACATAATATGTTCTTTCGGTTATACACATTATTGTTGTTGAGTATTAGATTAGATTATTTATTGTGGTTGATTGTCGTATAATTGAAACCATCATGTCACATTCACTGTTCAGTGTTCATTCGTCTTTCTGTTCGTATCTTTAGTATCATGCCTCGTCAAAAAATATTTATTGTTAGTGTTATGAAAAACCAAATACTCGGTAGTAAATTACCATCTAAAAAAGACGTTTTAAGTGTTTTATTTTTTAATATGCGGATGGTAAAATTAACGCTACAAGATAGTATTTCATTGGTTATTGATGAATGTTTAATTTTTTGGAAAAAAGCCCGAATACCAACTCGAGATCGATGTCATTGCTTAAAACAATTGAAAAAACTCTATGAAGAATTACGAAACCTCGAAAAAAGTAAAATCGGAATAGTGAGTTATGTAGGCAGAGAGAGCATAGTTTCGAAGAAAATTTAAATGATTTATTTGATATTGCGCATGCATTTGCTATGGATATGATAAAAATAAATGAAGATAAAGAATTTTTAAACTTTCAACGACAAAAAGGCCTGACGCGGTCCCGCGCAAAATCTGTTTGAATTCAAACAGCCTTTGCGCGGAAGCCGCGCCGCGGCTTCTCAATCAAACCGCCAACCGACGACGGACGACGCCGGCGCGCGACACGCGCGCCTGGAACCGTCGGCCGGCCGTCCAGCGAACCGGATTGCCAAGGCGCGCTCTCTTGTCCTCACGACTCCGACCGACACTGACCGCCGTCGTCTTTACACGAACTCGCGGATTCGATATTTTTTTTAGTGTATTAGATTATATTGAATATTGACATTGATTACTACACCAATAAAAAGTCACAACCATCACTTATCAGTGCGTTATTTGTTTTTTTTTCTTTCGCATTGTTGTACTTCGCTTGTTTGTTTTTTCCGACTCGACTGCTCACCGTCGATCACCACCAGCATATCATCACCCACGCGGCTCAATACAAGTCCGCGTCAACTGGCTCCCCGAACAGGAATCACCGGTAAGTGAAAACTTTCTTACCACATACTACCACCCCCAAATAAACCCCCGTTGCGCGTTTTGGAAAAAAGTCACCAACGCGATCCGGCAAAAACGTGGTTTGCAGGCGGTAACGGAAAAACCGGCATTACGTAATATATTACATAACCATAAAGGACGTAACGACCGGCCGCGCCGCCCGACTCACGGACGCACCGACCGCACCGCGCGCGACGCACCAAACACACACGACGCAGGTAGGCATTAGGTAGGAACGCAAGAGCGCGAGAGGGTCACACCACCACCGCCTAGCACCACCATCCGCCAACGTTAACACGCGATTACCCGGGACAAAAATACCACGTAATCGGACTGCCGCCGCTTAAAGCGACAGCCGCCGCCTTCCCCAATCGCAGTAGTGCACCGGATAACGCACACACGCACATCCGCGAAAACACTCTGCGAAGACCGGTTACTGTGATCGCCCGGCAAGCGCAACAATAACAATAACAACCCACTGACCTACATTCCATACGCAAATAAACACTGATAAGCGGGCAACACAGCTGATCGAAGAAACGCGATACCCGTTCCAACGACAACAGCCACATTTTATAATTTCTCGTCAACAACACCGGAAAACCAACCGGAAGTCATGCCGGGAAAATATATTAATGAATTGACCGCCGCGGAATTGCGCTACGAATGCGGACAGCGCGGTTTATCGGATACGGGCGCGAAGGGTGATCTCGAAATCCGATTAACACAACATTTCGCGGACATGAACCTGCAGGCCAACGAAATCCGGTTCCCGCCTATGGAACCCACTGGGCACACCGGACAGAGCTCGGCCACAGGTCTGGTACCCGACGCCAGTCAAACCGAGCAAATACAGATCGAGACATCACACGCCCCACCCCAGATCACCACCAACAACACAACACCCCAACCATCAACCACACCCACACACCAACAAACTATGGATATGATCCAAACGAATCGTACCATAATTAACGAGGTACGGCAAGCGGTGGAGAACTCGGCGCATGGCGGCGGTCTGGAATCGCGACTGACCATGCTCGAGAACTGTATGGCCCGCTTTGGCGAAGACCAACGTCGCATTGCAGAGACAATGCGACGCCTAGAGATGGGTATGGCACGCCAAGCACCGGAACAACAACCGGATGCAACCCCACCGATCCGCCCACGCCACACAGTGTTATCGAACAACACGGAATACGGAGCGAGGTACCCCGCGGCACGCGAACCGCCGTCCGCGGGTAACCACCGCGCCGATCATTCAGTACGTTTCGACGACACAACAAATATACACCATGCCCCCTCCTCCACACACACCTACGCGGCACAACAATCGACGCTGATACCATACGACGACGTATGTGCAGCGAGACATTCGCTGCCGGAGTACCACGGGACAACACCTGAGGACCCGGCAAGATTTATTCATAAAGCGGAGTCGATAATGTACCAAACGCGTATAGATAGGTCGGCCTGGACAAATATTATCGCACAGCAGCTAAAGGGTGCAGCCAGTACCTGGTGGAACACCATCAGACTACTGGACGTCACCTGGGAAGAGTTCCGCGCCGAATTTTTAGAAAAATTCGACAACGTGGAAATTCAGTCACGGCTGCGGGCAGAGATAGTATCCGTCCGACAAACACCAACGCAATCGCTAACGGAGTTCGTAACGCAAAAAAATCAACTTGCACGCCGCGTCAATACCGGACTATCTGAAACACAGCTAGTAGGTACGATAGCCGGACTAACGCGCAACGAATACCGCACGCACATAAGATTGCAAAGACCAGCGACTTTCGGAGACCTCCGCCGGATCGCTGGAGTCCTGGAGTACACACCTGACGAACCAGCGACACACCCACAGCCGAAACCGGCGCAAAAAAAATTTCCCCAAACCCGCCCGCCCCAACCAACGCACCAAACGCGAACACGGGACGGTACCGCAGCCAAGCCGCAACCGCCCAACCCGTGCAGATACTGTGGAGGTCCTCACTGGAACAGTGACTGCCCCGGGAACACACCGCGTTCGGGAAACGGGAAATGAGTCGGCGGACACCTGTCCACACCGCCGCCTCCACCACACACACACACACAACCACGCCACCACACACAACGTTCGGCATTACAGACGGGGATATAACCATCAAACGCGCATCGATAAACTCGGCGTCCTCACATATATCACCCGTCCAAACATCAACAATTTCGTTAAGTAGCAGGTCACCATCACCACACCACGCGGCACCCCAAAGGTCCGCATCAACGACCCCTACTACGAAATTAACAGGTACACATACAGTACATACACATAGCACAGAGGTAACCGAAACGGATGCTCTGGTAATGGCGGTGCAAACCGCTCCCCAGAACACCGATATGGCGGTTAAGAACCAGTTATCCAGCTATACATCACCACCAACGTCGAATAACGCTAAACGAGTATGCCCCGACAAAATTCCGACCCCCGCGGTCGAACTCGAATTTAGGTCAGGCCCCGTAACAGCTCTACTCGACTCCCAAGCGCAAAAATCGTATGTAAGCCCGAACACCGCACAAAAATTTGGCACCCCCCACCACGGACAACAAACTCAGGTACGAATGGCGGATGGTCACACCACATTGACAAGTGGTACCTCCACATTCGTAGCCAGAATCGGAGACCTCACGGTCACCTTCAACGCAGCCATTCTGGACAATTTATACTGCGACATGCTCCTAGGTCATGACTTTCTCGTACAAAACGAAGTCACCTGGGACTACACAACGAGCACTATTCATTTAGGTTCGAATAGGAGAACAACAGCGTGCTGGAAAGGTCGGATACCCACCCCCAGCTCAGCACTAGATGTCGACAAATTAACAATAAACGGTGACCACCACACACGCGCGAAACTCGCCGAAGTAGTACGTAACTATCCGGACGTATTCAACGGTAGGGTAGGCCGCACCAGGTTAATAGAACACGACATCCTCCTCAAAAATCACACACTCATAGCCCCCAAACCATATCCCTATCCACCGGTAAAACAGGCCATAATCGATACCATGATACGGGACATGGAGGAGCAGGGA